AAGTAGACAGACAGAAGACAATGGCAGCAACCCATGTGAACTGAAGTTTTGACAGAGCAGTTAGGCTGTGATGTTGATAAAAAGGAGAGAAGTGCTACCTGAAGGGCAGGTCTCACATTGTTAAAACTGTACATTAAACATCTGTGCAAAGGCCACCGATGTCAGCCTGGCCCAATGTGGAAAAAAGCTGCTATAGGACAAAACCCTGTTGTGACACGACCTAGGGTTCATGCATTGGTGATGTTAATTGATGTGTGCTCATGCTTTGCAGCTTTGTTTAGTTCTTTCTCTTAGCACAGACAGCATGATTCTGGAAGTTACAGGGACAAGCTGTCTCGGTACTTAACACTGCACTGAGATTGGTGAGTCCTAAATGGTGTTTGAACAGGAGAATCTGTTCAAAATACATTGAAAAAGAGGTTGTTTAATTATTGACTAGTCTTGGGAGTTGATTTATTACAGTTTTGATTGGTTTTCTTAGCTGGGAAAAATGGTTTGTAAGTTTAGAGAAGGAATAATAAAAATAAATTGGGTTGAGCTTTATGTAAATCAGCAGCATCCTTATTATTATTATTACTACTGTGATTTAAATAGATTTTAAAAAATAATCTCTATTTTCATGGAGTCACATGCAGAATTGTGAAAGTAGCTCTGTTATTCAGGTCTGATTACCAAAAGACCCTATTCCTGCATATACTTTGGTTTTCTGTAGAAAAATGCTGTTTTGTCTGTACAGATTGCCCAATATTGATTTTCAGGCCATCATTGCCTCAGAGACTTTGATTCCCCTAGAGTTCTGTAATGGCTGGAAAAAACATTGGTGATGTCACCTCTTCTCACTAGTCATTCAGCAACCCCCAGTCTTTTGTGGTAAATGCTTTCATCTCTTAGGGAGGATGGAAAGAAGGACAAACAGGTCACTTCAGTATGAAAAGTGTTTCCTTTTCTGTAGCTTTAGTTTTAACATGGATTAGAAGGGACAAATGAAAAATGCAGCCTGCCTTCTTTGCGATAAGATTTTCTGTTGTCATGTGTTGGGTGATGTCTCTTTTTCCTGCTAAAGATGCTGCTTAAGAGAAGGAACTCTTCTAATTAGAGTGTTGGGGGTTGAAAAGAGCTGTGTTACAAACGTTTTTCTAACGGGGGAGTGTGATGCTAGATCCAGAACATGACTTCGGTGTTGGCACTCTTCTCTTACATGTCACTGTTTTGTGTTGAGTTTGGTTATGTTAAAACATTTCTGATATAATAAATCAACATACCTGTGAAGATAGGAAAAGAAAGTATTTTAGAGCTAGTAGAACTTGTGTCTTACCTTGTTTTTTTTTTTTTAAATATTGGTTGACTGGTGGAAAGGAGAATAAAGATTAGTATGAATGCTTTTATTTTGAGTAGATCTAACTTTAAATTAACTCATTAACTGAGTAAGAAGAGTTAAGAAAAAAAATGAAATTAAGCACATATTTTCTACAGCAGCGAGAAAGGCCAATACTAACAGGAGCTGGCATACCAGTTCAGAAAAGACTGATGGGGTTTGCATTTTGTTTTACATGGTTAAGTAGTGATTTCTACTTGTTTATTAAATACTGTCTTTCTTCACAGCTTTAGTAACCAGTATAAACTTTTTTCATGGGTTTATATTTTGAACCTTCATGGTAATAATTTAAAAATAAAATCAGATTTTTTTACTGAATATAATTTGCTTTAACTATTCTCTGTTTAATTAAAACCCAGTATTCCTGAATCTAAGAATTCCTCAACCTTAAGTCCTTGATTGAACATAAAGAAGGAGAGTTCAAAAGCAGTGGTATTTTGTTGTGGGTTTTGGGGGTTTTTTTTGCCATTCAGCTCACTTTTATGTTCTGGTTGTAATTTAAAGTTTACTTGAAAGATTTTAATAGTTGCCTGCTGTGATCTAGTTTTTCTAACTGGAAAAACACATGTGTACATTCAAAAGACAGCCTTGAGAACGTAATCGTAACTTATAAATAAGAGAATGGGTGTGTTAACTCATTATCAAAGAGTGAGATGGGGTGTGAACTTGCAGTACATCTACAGTAACTACCATGTACAAATGTTTTCCTGTGATAAAAATAAGGTGTTTTATCCTTTGAAAAAGATCTATAAAACTCTCTTACACTTTTCATATTTTCTGCTGATAAGAGCAGGCTTTCCAGAGCAGCTGATGTAGTAAATTCATATCCTCCTGTAACCTGAGGCAACTTGGTTGTGCACCCATATCCGAAGTTATGATAATCCACTTAAGGCCAAAACATAAAAGATGAAGATAAGTTTATGTTGGATAATAGAGAGCATTACAGTGGGACCAGTCTGATACAGATACTTGGATTTTGTAGGTACCATCTTCAAGAGTCAAACTGGTAATGTTGTTATTCTTATTACAAAAGAAGCGATGTTGAAATGAAATTTTCTGTGACTGGGAGCTGAGATACAGGAGCCTTATGTATCAGGCTGTTTAACAGAATGGTTTTCTTATGTTCTTGCGCTTGTGTGTGGCAATCTGACACCGTTTGAGATGGAAGATTCGGGAATAACCCATTTGAGCTTGAACCATTCACAAAACTTTCATACTTGAATGAGGTTTTTAACAGTCTGGCAAAAAAGCCCAGCTGTTTACATGTATAAATAAAAGATTATTGGTTTACAATTTTAGCACATAAATGATGTGCAATGTAGCTAAAAAATCCAATATTTGCCTTGAGCTATAAGTCTTTGGGAACAGTTCTTATCTAGTATTTCCACTTGATTCAAAGACTTAAATTAATTTGTAAGTGCTAAAGTCTTTCTCTTCTTTCTGTCTTGTTCTAGGATGTTTTTGTATTTAGACATGAACTTGCTCTCCTAAGAGTATCTGCCTTCATGGGTCTAATAATATTAGGTGGAATAAGTGGACTCTTTTACACTCAGCTAATGGGTATTTTCACTGTAAGTATCTCATTTTAGAAGTATATATTAGTTTTATTTTCAATAAAATTAATAAAAGCAGAAAAGCAGATTGCATTTAAGGGAAGAATAGAGGAACACTTGCGCTATGAGGCAGTTATCTGGTATGTGCTCTGTCAAGACTCTTGTCTCCAAGGAAGCCTTAAGAAGCCTTCTAACAAACACGTGTCTAATAATTCGCCTATCAAGGCAATTTCCTCATTTGTATCGGTAAAATAAAACCATGCATTGCTCTGGAATTGTGCAGTGTACAAGGTATGTATTTGTGAGTTTTGGTTTTTGTTTTTATTTTAAACTCTTCTGTGCCCTGGTCTCAATTATATATTGTGTCAGTAAGGCCCACTGATAAATCGTACATTCTGAGAACACAGACTTTTTTAAAGTATTTTAATAAATCTGCTTACTTTCATATCTCTTCAGTTGCTAAACTGTGGAGTGGAATAATGTACAATTTACAGGCCAAATGCATACTCTGTATTTAAAGGTACAGAAAAAAAATCCTCTGCATGGAAAAATTTTCCAGCTAAATGAATTTGGTAATGTAATAAATTATCTACAAGGAACAAGCTTTTGTTGCTGTAGCGTCCTGTTCTGTACATTAGAAGTTAATCACTGCAGTAAATTCTTTACAGTTATCTTGAGAATACATAGAAGTGCTTGAAGTACTGCCGTGTTGAACAGAGATTAGTTGGATCTGTACATGTCTGAAAGGGTCTATGATCTGGCCTGCAAAACTTTTTTTAAAAGACAATAACTTACACGATGACAGCTTCTTTATTACTACAACTGATTGAGATCTGCCTGAGATTTCATTTTGGGATTATGAGGGTTTACACAGTATTAATGTTTGTTGGTGCATAGTGGAAAACCTCCTAACTGTATTATGTAATTCCTTTGTATGGAATAAAGGACACATATTACTGTGTAGCTTTTCCTTCTCTTAGATAAAACAATAATATTGCTTATTGTTTTTATTGTATTAACTTTATTTCTTTACTAACTTTACTGCATTCTGCTGTTTGTGTGACTGTAGCTGTGCTGTGTATTATTTTCGCCATCCTCCAGCTGCTCTGCCAGTCTGCTTTTTGTACTTTCTGTCAACCCCGAGGCCTACGAGGGTCTTGCCTTTGCACCCCTTTACTGTGTGCCTGATTGCTAGCTGATAGGTTCTCACCTGCTAAATGCTGGCACACAACCTTTGTGTCTGCGTGCTCTAGAGGTGGGATTTTTTTCTGATCCGATGCTGTGCCTTGATGAGTATCTAGCTAAAGTGATGCAGACATCTGAATTCTGCTCACCCTCACTCCCAGTAGCGGGAGAGACAGAAATTCGGGGAGCCTTAGAGTTCAGGTGCTGAGATATGAATGTCTCTCTAGTCTCTGTTAAATGGATATATGAGAAGGAACAAAAAGCCATGTGATCAGTACTACACTAAAACATAGAAATGATACAGAAGAAAACAAGGAACAAAACCTAAGTCTACCATTCTGTTCTGTGTGCTGCCAGAAGCTGGACTAAATTTTGGTAGTGGCCATCAGCAGCCTTTCAGATACTGTTAGTAGACATGAAATAAAAACTCTCAGACTGAATCTGATTCTGTCAGGTACACTTGAAACTTGGGACATTTCTGTTACCATTTCTGATACCACCTATGCTGCCTCTGCAACAGGCATGAATTCCCTCTATGTTCTTTCACCATTCTGAGTCTTAACAGGCTGCTACCACCACTGCAAACTCTTACAAAGTGCTGTAAAACTGCTTTATTTGATGTCAATTTATAATGATACTGTGAAGTATATCCCATTGCACTTGCTGAGCTGGCCACTACCCTGGAACAGGTATGGGCTAGTAGCATTTTCAAGTCTGACCTCTTTCATGTGTTGAAATCATAATTCTGTGGATTGCTGAGCTGCAGTATGCCTGGATACTCTCTTTTGCCCTCTTTGCCAAACCTGGTGAAACAAACACACCACTGTAATTGTGGGTATGGCTGGTCTATGAGAGGCAGATGCTGGGAAGTACAGATCTTCTGCATTAGGGCCTGTTACTGCACCCTACCTGTAGCAGAGGGGCTATTGTTCTTGCCTCATATGGACAAGGTTTTAGGTTTGGGGTTGTTGGCTTGGGATTGCTGAGGAAGTAGAAGCCCATAAATGGAATCTCCGAACTCTTAATTCATTCATACCATGTGGATGCTGTTGCATTGACTCTTTGAAGAACATAGGTCATCTAGTCCATCCTCCGCACAAAGCATTTCCATACTAGCAGCACAATAATCTTCCTTTTCATGCCTTTCTTCACGAGTGCAGAATTGGCAAGAATAAACAATGAAGTCATTTTGAGGAAATCTGCTTGAGAACAACTAGCCAGACTTCAAAAGAACAAAGCCAAATCTGTTGGGCGAGGTTGTGCTTCATCTGCAAGTTTTGTCAGAAGATCTTTCTGTACAAATGGTTTTTGATTGTCAGCATTGTAGTGTGGAGTTTGCGTCCTCCGTAATCACTTAACAACAACTTTGGCTAGCCAGTGGAAAAGGCAGAGGAGAGGGCAGCAGGTGAGTGAGTAGTTACTCTGCAGGCTCCCGAAAGACATGCCTGGTTTGCAAAGAATAGGGAAACAAACTGGGTATATCCACTCAGAGCACTGAGCACACCCCATGGAAGACATTCAAGCCCTGTAGAAGCAATGAACTGTGATCACCAACAGAGAGTCATGCTCCTACTGTGTACTGTGCTGGAGTTAACTGTTCAGCATCTAACCTTCCTCTATAAGCAAAGCAAATTGTATCTGAAATGAGCTTTATTTAAAATAATGAATTAATGATGAAATTAAGTTTAACTGAGTACAAGGTACAGATAAAAATCTATTTAACAGCAGAACACGATCATTGAAGTATAAAAAAAAAGCACAGACTTGAGGTTAATTTAAAAACAAATGCTTGAAGACGTAGATATGCACAGTTAAAACATTCATGTTATAGTGATTGCTCCATAGCTATTCTTGAGAGCATTAATTTCAGTGGTTGCTGAAGCTGCCCAGAGATGTGTGCTAGAGAGGTAGGCAAGAGCATGGATCTTTTTCAAAAGGTGAAGCAGAGCAGCTCTTACGTGGGCTTGTACAAGAAAACAGATAATAAACATTTTCCTAGTTCATGCTGCATGCCTGTGTTCGCAGTTTAACATCAAGCCAAGATTAGTTCTGCACCTCCTGGATAAAAGTTACTAAGTAATGGAGACAATCAGCATTGCAGCTCCATGATCTAAATTTTGACTGATACTTACTGTTGCTAAATGAGTCCAGCAAGTTCAGGTTTGTTGGGGTTTAACATTACTATTTGCCTATATTTCAAATACTGCCAAAATTGTATTTGTGGAACGAAAAATAAACTCAAGATTGTTATCAAACTTTGACCCTTTTGTAGATAAGCTTCCTGATTCTCCTTAAGGTAAACTTGCTTGACTGTCATTATATAATGTCATATTATATTCCAGAAACCAAGACAATAGTTTCTGTTTCATCTAAGTAGTGTAAAGGTAAGGCTAAGTTTTTCCAGGAATATTGGATGTGCAGATTAAAAAAATCCCCAGTTCCCCATTTTTCAGTATCTTCTAGGTACACAGAATGTGCTCTGCTTACTGCCAGTCTCACAGAAGCAATTGGGGATAATGAAGCTGCAGAGTTGTTTGTCCTCCTTTAGCATCATCAGTAATAAGGAACCAGGACCTGAAATGGTAACTTCGTGCTTCATTATGTATGGCTGATTTCCACAATCTGATGATTCTGCTCAAATATGAATGATTGGAATGTAGCATGCAGCGTGAGGTGTGATATGTGCCCTCATAAATATGAAGACTCATGCTGCGTCTTCATATTTACAGAAGTTTATCCTTTTGCCACTGCAGCAAGATAGATAAAGTTGGATGTGTGGAATTAATGTGCATTAAGTGGCCTTTGTATACAGCATATTTATAAGCAGACTTGCTCCTTACTAGAATTGAGCTAAGTGATATCTTGACAAGCCGTAAGAATGAGCAGGAGTTTTACATAGGATTTTAAAGGGAAATACTGCCATTTTCCCCTCTTCAATAAATTACTTGGAAGTCAAAAATGTTGTCCAGCTGAACATGTAATGGAAAGGATGTCTCTGATTCACTCTGGAATGTTTTTCTGGAACAGGGCAGTAGCTGAAACAGGAAAGCAGAGTGTCTCATTATGAAGTGCAGGTGAAATATTCTGCTGTGTGTGCTGGCACTTTCCAAAGTTCAGTGGTGATGTGCAGTTGACTGAAATTCTGTGCCTATCACTGCTAACTCTCATTGGTTGTAACAGTACATCCATTACATAAAAGTTCTTGAAGAAAAAAAACGCATGTAATCTCTGCTTATCCTGTTTCATGTGTGTTCCACAGATAGTAAGATGCCTGAAAAAAACATGCTTTCTGTTAAAAATGAAAACTTTCTAACCTGTGTAACTCACATTTGGCTCTTACACAGAGAACGTTCTTAAGGCTGTATTGCTTGAGAAGGTGATTAATAGACAAAGTTCCCTAACGTGCAGTAATTTCTCTTAAGTAGGTTTAGCACCTCTCTTACTGTGGTATCACTGCTAGGGTATCATTAGCACAAGGCTATTCATATCTCATCTGGAGGTCCAGGAAGCCAAAGAGCAAGGGAGGTGACTTCCTACAATGAGAGGAAAACAGCTGTTTGGTAAAAACTGTCCTTAGAGGAACTTTTGACATGAATTGTTTTGACGAAGAGGGGAGCAGCTGAGGTGGCCTCTGTATATGGGATTAGTGCTTTCTCCCTGGAAACTAGCATATGTGAAACACGCTTCTAGCAGAAGGGGCACATGTCTCTCTTCATCTTACTTCTCCAACTGCTTTCCCCAAGCTCTGTTTGCCTTTACTGTCATCATCCTGAATTTTAACACATCTTCCAGCATGTATCTGAGATTGCTCTTGGGGAACTTTTATTTGGATA